AAACAGGTCTAGAACTGGTTACCTCATCATGCATATATGCTGCTGTCAAGTGGAACCTGTAAAGCAAAATCCCAAAGCATATTATTTAACTTTTCTTCACGACATGTCAATTTTAGCTCTTCTGTTTGGTCATTGTATATTGAACACAAATTCTTTAAATATTATGTTTTAGAGAACATTGAAAAATAACATTACCCTCAGTTCTATACTAAGGGATTTTCAATTTTAAAAAAAGTGCTTTGCGTTTCACTCCTACCCGGGCGTCCAGTCCTACCATTGTGACAGCAAAGAAAAATATCACAGCCCAAACATAAGGACCGTGAAGGTTAGTCAAAGCTCGGCTTCTTTCCCGGTTCGGACGTGACCTGAATAGGTATTAGATATGCATAGTGTTGACATGTAATTTTCATGGTAATCTCGTTTCAACGTTTTCGCGGTGAAAATATTGCAATATTATTTGTATGCATTAATAACAGTTTCTACATACACTAAAAATCACCCAAATAATATATACTAAAACGAAAAAGAAAAGCCGTGTAACCTAAAAAGATTCTTTTAAATGATATAATTTAATGTTACATTATTTCATTCATTTTTGTATACAATTTCATCTGTTTGGAACCATTTGTTGAAGGTTCTATCGATTATCAATACTTATTATGCCAAAATATCCCCCTTTTAGCGATGACCCTACTTGTATTGCGCAACACGGCCGGACATTTCAGTATCTTGTGTTGTCCTCCATGCGTAGCTGTCGCATCCCTGATTCTTCTATGCATGGAATTCATCAGGGTGTTAACCCTTGCAATGGGGATGCTATTCCATTCTTCATGCAAGGCACGTGTGAGCTGGACCAGATTAGTGGGGGCATTTGGACGTCTCCTAACTCTCCTATCCAATTCGTCCCACAAATGCTCAATTGGAGACAAATCTGGACTGAATGCTGGCCAATCGATTGGGATTACGTTATTGTTGGCAAGAAATTGCTGACAAACTCTAGCGACATTGGGCCGGGCATTGTCTTCCTGGAATATCAGGTTCCGTGCTTGCACACATGGCACGGCAACTGGGTGATGGATTTCGTCTCTATACCTTACGCCGGTTAAATTACCGTCAATCACGATCGGGGTGATTTAAACCCATAGGAGATACCGCCCCAAACACATACTGAACCACCGCCAAACCTATCCCGCTCAGCGACGCACGCGTCGGTGTAACGTTCCCCTCGACGTCGATATACACGACGTCGCCCGTCCGAACGGTAGAGAGTGAACCGGGATTCGTCAGTGAAGAATACCCGTCTCCATTGCCTCATAGGAAAATTTCTGGGCGAGTGTGCTTGTAACCAAGCTAATCGGCGTTGGCGACGCGCAGGAGTTAGGGGCAGACCAACATAGGGACGTAGGGCTCGTAGGCCATTGACGCGTAATCGGTTTCGAACCGTATCAGGATGAATATGGCGGTTATGACTACCTATAGTGTTATTTGAAGTTTCGGTAGCTGTGAGATGGCGATTACGTAAGTGAGAAAGTCTTATAAACCGATCCTGATGTGGCGTCATGACGCGCGGACGTCCACTTCGCGGTCGATCGATGACCCTCCCCGTCACTCGCACACGTTGGACAAGACGTTGAATTGTCCGAATATGCACACCAAAATGTGCAACAACCTGAAGTTGGCCCTGACCCTGCAAAAGCATTCCTATAGCCTGTCCCCTGTGGCATGGATGTAACAGATATTTTAGCACGTGCCTCGCACGGAGCGCGGAGATCAGGTATTGTGTGATTTTGAACACGTGTACCTAGTGACCAAGAACAACACATCAACCTGACCGAGTGTCATTATTCTAGGCCAAGCAATAAATCATTTGTAGTATATTTAGTGTACCCGGCATTTCTTTTTCGTGTTAGTATACATTACACAAAATAACTATTCGCTATTTTTTCTGTAAGTGTACGTTAAATGCCGTACTACAGATAACGTGCTTTACACTCTAAGATGACCCCTGCAGTATTTGTTCCACGTTTTCTATGAATAATGTATAATCGTTACAAAAGCTAATCTTGGAATCAAACAATGATTACTGGTTAGTCATATATCAGCCAATGAAAAATAAACAAGTTCATTGTAACATTTTACTGCGTTGCGATTATAAAACATTGAAAAAAGTGAAAAGCGTAATAGGCAAGTCCGCTTTTCTCGATATTCCAATCACCAGCAAATTAAAATCGAATTCATCTAATCCGTGTTGATTATTTACATAATAAGTAGATCTTTATCAAACGCAAATCGAAAATATCGGGAAAATCCCATTTGCATATTTAAATAACTCATTTAAATATGTTGTCAAACTTGGACATAGCCACCTTTAAAGGCCCTCTTTTTTCAAAAGCAAAGACACGCCCACCATCCTACCTTTAGTGCATTTCTTATAATGGTGTCATGACGTCGACTATGTGGTTTTAGAGTCATTTGCATACATGGCGAAAAAAACTGAAATATGGTGATATTTTGAAGCTATTATGCTCTGGTGTTGGGGGTCTCTTTCACATACGTTCTATATACGTTACCTATCCCGTGATACCTAATGATAGCAGGTAAAAATGATGAAATAAAATAAGTTAAACGGAGGTGAAGACCGAAATTCATGACCACAATTTAGAGAAACACAATGCCCGACATTAGTTCACTGTCTGATTTCATTGGTATTCTGAAATGAGTGCATTTGAAATGAATAGTTTGGAAACACCGCGATTAAGATTTGTCCTGTTGTATAAATACAGAATACAAGAGCATGTTAAACACGTTTTCAAAAAGAAGGCAAGTGTGATTTTCCTGTCAAGCATGGGTTGTCACATGAACAAAGCTCTCTGAAAGAGTGCTCCGCTTGTGCCCATTCTTAATCGCTTCTATAAATGCGGTCGTGCCATGTGCGGTACGGTATACTGAGGTTTTGTGCTCTGTTAGGGTTTCTTTTTATCATTTGTTGTAAATTGCATCCTGTCGATATAATGTATGATCTAGGGCCCCTTAATATGAATGTCAAGGTTATATAACTCGGATTGATATAACCTTAAGAAGCAGACGATCATGACAGGTACTTGTTTTCAGCAAATACAAATAGACTTCTCGGACAGTGGAAGAAAGTCAGTATGTATCCAGTTTCGATCAAAAATAGTAATAAAAGTCTTCACATGGGTTGCTGCATCTACATTCAGCCGTATTACCATTTTTCTGAAGAAAAAAATCGGGATCAAGAGATCTGGCAGGATTTCTCTAACGGAAATGAAGTATGTTTTAATTACGTAAATCTCATACCTAAAAGCATCTGTCATGTATCATTTCTGTCTTACTGATAATTGATTTAAGTGTATTGAGAGAAGGAGAGTTCCTTTTAGAAATATCTATGTCATATCACTTTTTTGTTATTGATGAGAAAAAGAATTTCGCACGCTTAAGAGATAATCTAAAGTTCTAGTGTATGAAAACCACGTGAGAATTAAAAGATTTATGTTAAGATTAAATTTCATATCTCAAACAATCAACAATTTAATTGTTTCATTATTTTTTTAATGATTTCTATAGAAACAAATTAGAAACAATGTCGTGAACGTTTCGATATCATGTAAGTTCCCTTTGCAGTTAAAAAAAAAAAAAAAAAAAAAGATGTCAATTGAGAATTCGATCCATGCACCTTTGGAGTCGAGAACGAAGAGCTCGTCACTGTCCTATCGCTACGTTACACATGATGAAGTGATCATTTAGAAATCTTATTAAGTATGTAGTTTTCTCTATCTATTGAGCATATTTTGTTTGTATTTGTGTATCATTCAAAACATGTGTCAAGAAAAACAAAAATGACAATGATATGGTCAGTATATTAATGACTGATTATGCTGAAATACCAAAAATTCAAATATGTCCATATCATCAAGCTCTGCGCCCCTTCTCTTACACTAAAAATCACCCAAATAATATACATAACACAAGTCTGATGTTTATTGAGGAAACAAAGTCACTTTTCGCAATTCGAAAATTTAGTAATCTTATTAAGTACATAGTTTTCTCCATCTATTGAAAATTACGCAAAGAAAGCAATGCCCAATGGTTGTCTGAAGTATTTTGAGCTGATTTGTGTGTGTGTGTGTGTGTGTGTGTGTGTGTGTGTGTGTGTGTGTGTGTGAGAATTGAGTAACTAACCGAATATTCCTAATACAATCACATCATCAAGGTTTATAGAAAATCGATTGTTTGAACAGTGCACATTGCTTCGATGACATTGGGTGTAATTAAAACAATGAGCTCAAACCAGTTTACTGATGAAGATCTGGTAGGCCTACACGAGTTTTGTCATGTTTGACCGCATCGAAACAAACCGAGCCGTGTCACAACACTGGAATGACGTTAGATATGCAAACATTGCACGTGAAAATACGATTACATTTGTGGTCATTTTTCAAATGTTAATTATATTTTAGCTCGTTGAGTACTACAAACATATATATATATTTTTTAAAATTTTTGTCTCGACAATTTCCAAGAGAGCACACGTAAATTCCAAGTGAAGAAAATTAGTTTTGTACTGCATCACTCCTGTAAGTTAGGTTAGAGACTAGAAGTGAAACAGATCAATCAGTTCACACGATTTGGATCGAAAATGTTTAATATATGAATTGAAAATACTTTTCAATCTTGTTAGCAGTATTGAGTTTGTTGGCGGGCTTCATGGCACATGGTCGTTACCTATGAACCTCCGAAATCCCTGTGGCATGGATGTAACAGATAAAGCGTAATAAAGCTGTAAAGGTTCATTTTGACTTTCAATTACTATTTAGATATAAATGAAGCATAAACTTGATATATTGACCTTTATTTACCAGTTGATTTATAACAGTTAATATAATCTTAGTGACAAAGGCAGCAACCAATGAAACACTGAGAAGCAATTGATTAAGAAGAAATACAAAAATGTACGATTCATGAGCCGATATATTCATGAATTAACAGAGCGCAACAGTTTCATAGTGCCTTTTGGTAGGATATCTTAATCTACCAGTCAAATTGTAGTACGCGATGTCTGTAAATGATCGTTTAGTATGTAACCATTCCATTAACTGACTTCGCTGAGCGCTGTCACTTGGGCCCCATGTACTGCTTGGCTGTGTTAGAGTTGTCCATCGCTGTATAAATATAAATCATATTAACCTCGTGATCCTAATCATTGATAAATAAATAGGTTATTGAAATCATCTTTAATGCCCCTTATATCTCATGCGATTCTCTCCATAGAATAGAAGCTTTTATAACACAACCAGTGGAAGATTGAGGTTTGACGTTTTTTATGATTACCTTCATCAGACACTGACGTACGTAGTGTGCGACAGGGTAAGGAATCGACCAACCTTTCAAGCTGTACTATAATTCTGCATAAGGTACACTAAGGTCCAAAGTTGTGCGACGGAATAATAAACAGGTCATAGACCAAAAATACACAAGATTGTAACAATAGTAATAGTAAATTCGGCTAGGCTTTGTCAGTGCTTGTGCGCTCCACGCTGGTCATTTGTCTGATGAAGGTGACCGTGTAGTCATCGAAATATCACGCTCTAATTTTCTAATGGTTCAATTATTAGAACTTCTAGTGGCATTACCGACTAGAATAAAATGTTTCCAAATATCCAAATAAGGATTCTCTCAAGACCGCAATATATATTTAGTATTTGAGTTAAAAAAAACTTGCTGGTATCGGACGATGTAACAATTGTAGGCTACGTAAGGTAATTTTATCGTTTTAAACTTCAGATTCAACCTATCTTCTGTAATACCATTACCATAATTTGATGGAAGTTAAAATACGCGTTACATACAAAAGCATCAATTACATTACCTGTTTGAGGGTTCCCTTCAGTTTAGTTAATTGCCAAATGATGTGAAGAGGTATGGGAATGACAACAGAGCACGAGATCACCCAGCCAATGACGCGAGTGTACTCTGGATATTCGTAAGAACCATACTTTGGAGGTCTGTACGTGACAAAGCTAGTCAAGAGGAGGAGCTGAAACGTCGACATAGCAAGTTATTTCAGTGTCATCCAGTGTGTATATGTGGCATGGTTTCATTTAGTTCGACATTTAAGACATATCCATGTTTATTTTTTTTAAAAAGAAGAAAAAAAGTAATACCAACAGTTTAACAAATTTGAAATTCAAAATCGATAGAACGAGGGTAAATCATAATCAAAAGGGACGTTTACGTTTACTCTTCCGGAATATTTGGTCTCACATTCTACACTATTTTTTCATGAGTTTCTGTGTAAGTATTTTGAGCTTTGACTATGATTTTGTAGACAAATTGATATTTTCTTTGTCTTTATTTACGTTCAACAGGCGATAACTGAACAATACGAGACAGTTATGACTAGTTGTTCCGGAAGAGTACGCGTCTTTTGCTTCATGGACGACACCCGATATGGCAAACCCAAATATTGCTATGAGCTAGAATGAACAAACGGGCATAGAAAACACTCCACACGGAAATGGAATATCTTTTTAAATGAGATTATGTTTGCGACCATAACTCGCATCTCTCATCTTTATTTGCCTGCTGTCCATATCTTGAATACAAAGATCCTCATATCGGAAACAAACCCGCACCAATGGAGCAACTGCGTCGCAGGTCGTGGAGGCAAGGGTATTACTATCTAAAAACGGAAAAATAAGCAATAGGGAAATTGAAATCATCACGCTTACATTACAGTTTGGTGGAAAGTTGCCGTTGTTGCCTTTCAAATGTATGTCTGTCGACGAAGACATTTGATCAGCTTCACGATTTCCACCCCAATGTATTTCTTCCTGGCTTCAGACGTACTTCTAACGAAACATGTTCTATAATTCATATCCATACACAAAATACTTGCTGCGAACTTCACATTTTTTAGAAAAAGAAGATCTTCTATTAACCAGATAGTGAAGGCGTTCCTGTAGATTTGCGTTGGTATGGAAGTGTCAACAGCGTAATAATCAATTTTTTGTAAATCATTTTTTTTCAGTAGAAGATATACAAGAGTCACGAAAAACGTTTTGAAATGTCTGTTAAATCCACATTCATTTGATGCAGCTCTCGAGTAAACAGTATCACCAAAAACGACTGTTGAACGCACTACTAAGAATGGTAATAGTTATTATCACAACTCCGGTTATTTAAAGTTACTTGTGTCATACAACTGAGACATAAACATCATTGTTGTGTTATTGTATTGTATGATACCAGGTGTCTTGATGAAACAAACACGACGTCATCAGTTTGTGCTGTGAAATTAAATTTCCAACATCGACTGGCACAACCAATGAAAAACGCTCCAGGGTATGTACCACTAGATATACCTACACAAAAATATCACATGGATGAATCCAATAAATAACAGGCAAATAATGTAATAAAACGTTTCTTTGTTCAAAATAAGAACACATTTTTCTATTTTCAACAGTTTTTAGTTAGTAAACATTTAAATGGCCACAACGTTTTATATAAAGCTTCATACCAGACACAATACCGGCGATATATAAGCTGCTGCCACGCGGAACACGTGCGGCATTTTTCGTCCAATCATATCTTGTAGGCCGTGGTCAACTCGATGGCCTCCTGCAAAGCATAGTCACAAATCCTATTAATTTTTTTCACAGGCGTGTCAATAATTAGGTCTTAGGATTGATCATTGTATACGAAGCAGGAACTCTTTCGCAACTATTTAAATTAAAGTGAAATTGATCTTGTAAATAAAGATAAATATATACTAGCGGTCAAAAGAAACGCAAGTTTATCTACGATAGTTAATATTTTTCATGATTCATTGATGATTAATCCATTGTTTGGGTTTCTCGATTATTTCATAATTACCGAATACATTTTGATGATTTTTGTTGTCCTATCACTGACGACATGGCCAGCTTTAAAAACAGGTACCCTACCTGACCCAAATCAGTAGCGTATGTGCCCACCCTTAGCTTCAGTCGCTGCCCTTACTTTCCTTAATATTAACCCCATCAAGGTGTTTATAGTCCTTTGAGGGATATTATTTCACTCCTGAATAGTGTCATGTGTGAGTTGAGCGGCGTTGACGCACTTCCTAACCTTCATGCCAAGCTCGTCCAACAAATGCTCGATTCAAGACAAACCTGGACTGTATGTTGGCCAATTAAGAATTGGGACGTTGTTTTGAGCCAAAAGTCACGACAAATCCTCGCAAGATGGGACCTCGCGTTGTCCTGCTGCAACGTAAGGATACGTTGATGGATTGGAGGAAGGACGTCTGATCTCAAGACCTAATTCTGATATGTTACTGCTGTAAGATTGCCATGGATAACCGCAAGAGGTGTTTTCACGCCTTGATATATCACTGCCCATACCATGTCAGACCCGTTCCTGAATCTGTTGCTTTCCGTAACGCAAGCGTCAGAATATCGCTCACCACGCCGTCGATAGACACGTTGCCGTCTAGCTGACTTGAAAAAGCGTGAAGAAAGCCTTATCAGTGAATGACATACGTCTCCAATAAGCCAAACGAATCCAATTGGAAGCAAGTGCAAACACCCACTGCATTCGACGTTGGCGTCACCTCTGTGTAAGTGGAAGACCATTATAGAAATGTCGTGGCCTTACACAAAACTCTCGCAACCGATTCCTAACTTTTCTAGGACACTGGCCGAATATGAGTGCCTATAATTTGGCGTGCCGTCTCCGTAGCCACATGAAAGTGGTTAGACGTATGCCACTATTTTGACGTCGCGACGTAACGTAAGGGCATCCGCTCCACGGACGGTCACCTTATCTTCCTGTAGCTGTGAGACACGGTCGTCTGCATTTTAACTGTAGAACACTTTCATAGTGCACGGAGGAAACTCAGTGTCAAATTTGACTGAATTTCGTCCACGTGTCAAAAAATAAAATTTTCAAAGACCGAACTTGCGTTTCTTTATTACACTTGTAGATTTACGTTAGAAGAAGCAGTGTAGATGGAATTTTTCATATCGACCATACTCTCTGTCTAAATGCGCATCAATATCAATGTTATGAATGTTCTGTTTTGGTTCTCATTTTAGTCTCAAAGGTATGAGGTAAGGCACTAACCATAACACCACATAATGGCAATAACCTCCAGAAGTGCAATTACTACAACTGACCATGTTGGCAAGTACCAGTCTACTAACTGGAACATGTAAGGCCCCGCCTACAAAAACAGAATCATTTTAAATTAAGATATTTTTGTCATAAACGTACTAACTTAGTAACATCATAACTATTCAGCCGCTAAAACTTTCGATCGTATTCTTTATTATTAACTTATTTAAAGGATTTATATTTACTATTCATTTTCTTAATTCAAAAGCGATGTTTGTTAGGTACATTAACGTAAGTTACTTACTGACATTTACTAATTATCAACTGTGCTCCTTTTGCCGGAATTTCATACCAAACTTTTTTTCAACTCTGCCGGATCCAACATTTCTTTTAATTGCTGCATCTCAGATTTGTATATTCTAACACCTATTCTTGGCATTTTACCTGTGTACAAAATGGGAGGTTGATGAGAAGCATAATGGCGTTGACCAGTAACACCAGGTATAGGTGACGATGACGACCCAGTCTATTACTAAATCCTTCCAGAAATGATACCACTGTCTCTGTACAAACGACCTATAACAACATTAATATCATATTTTAGAGAACAAAAAAAATAGCATTACCCTCAGTTCTATACTAATGGCTTTTCAATTTTGATAAAGTGTTTTGCGTTTCATTCCTACCTGGGCGTCAAGTCCTACAATTGTGACAGCGAAGAAAAATATCACAGCCCAGACATAAGGGGCGGGAAGGTAAGTTAAAGCTCGGCTGTAGCCCACCAGGCCGATAGACATACCTGTAACACAATACACATAAAATTAACGGGTGAATGCATTTACAATACCTTCATGATAAATTATGAGATATATGATATTGTATATGGGGATATCATGCTTTGCTTCTTTCCCGGTTCTAACGTATCATGAATAGGTATTAGGTATACATACTGTAAACTTGCATATCTTCGTGGTAATCTCCTTTTAACGCGGTGAGAGTATTGCAATATTGTATTATTACATTAATAACAGATTAAAAATGAACCTATCATTGTTTATCGTTGGACTTAAATTAAAATTTTATTTTTCCAAACTAAGTTCATCGGAATCCTTTTCACACGAATATGAACTAAATAAAAGTGTTTTAAACATATTATAAACATTTATTCAAATTCGTCTAATCTGACCCCAAAACCTATCTCAAAATGTGTTTTTTTTTTTAATTTCCGTACATATATATATATATATATATATTTATATAAACGATATATACCGGACTTAACAACATCCTGCACCGGTACCCCAATCTCGTTCGCCATCACACCAATGATAGAGAAGAGGACAACACTGCTGAACAACGCTATAAAAACATCCCCAATTATGCCTATCACCACATTTCTGCAACAGAAACAACACTATATTTTTAAATATTGAAGCTCAGGCACTAATGATAATTTTTGTTTATTGGGAGGTCGGAGAACAAAGTCATTTGTACGATGCTGTATTCCATAGTGTGTCTTATGTTATATATAACTTTATAGCAATCCGTTTTCTCGTGACAATTTTCGCAATAAAATTTTAGAGAGTAAAAATACTTCTCGTGATCTGAATAACAAAGAACATCTAATTTTCAAGAATTTTACTCCGGATGTCAAATTTCACATACGTCATTGATACTTTATTTATCGAACAAAATTCATAAGATGATCCATGCTTCCAAATGTAATTTTTAATTTCAATACAATTATTGATCAATTTTTTGCAATTTCCTTAATGGCTCTCGTATAAACCAAACATGTCTTCCCGCGGTAATAAATTACTATACGATACTTCAGTATCAAACATAATATAAACACTTAATTTACATTAGCTAACTTGTAAGATTTGGAATTTTCAATTCGATTATAGTATTATAGGATGCAAACAGAACTAGGGAAAAATTAAGAAATTTGGAGCCTAGATAAATGCACTGACAGTGTCATGTCAAACAGTGAAATGCCTTTCCTTATTCAAAACTCTTAAACCAGTTCCTAATGTTGCAATCCTTTCTGACAAAGGGATGAGTGAACCATTATATCATTTTAAACTATTTCAAAAATATCAAAATGTATCATTTTAGTAAAATCTCATATTTTCCATTTAGCAAAATATGAATTATTTGGACAAACTTATCGTCATTATGCCCAAAGACGGATTACATAGTTACATGGCAGAGATACATGTTGCTTTAGTTAATAATGCCAAGTAACCATGCATAAATGGTACCAATGTTATATCATATATTTCATAAGCTAGACATGTTCATTCGGTATCCAAGTTCGAAACATAATATGATCGGACTTTCTTACCTCAAACAGTTGGTGTGATATTTGGTATGACTTCCCATCATCATAATTCCGCCCCAACCTGGACCAAGACTGTAAAAGGCCATGAATGTTGCCTCTATCCATACCTGTCATATAAATTGGTCAGTTATTCAGTGTCAAAGTAGAATGGTAATATGTTTATTTCCACTGACAATAGTTCTTTCATTTAAAAATACTTTACAATAAATATATAATGTGTTTGCAATGTAAAGACATCTTATATGAGTACATGTATACAAATAAATGCAAACCTTTGAATTGATTAGTTTTGTAAAATCTGGCGTAATCAAGAAGAGTAAGCCATCAGCGGCACCATTTTGAGTGAATGCTTGGATCAGCATCGCCAAACCGAGTAGAGGAGGGAGGGCTGTAGTAAACAGCATCAACTGTAAAATAAGAGAGCAGAATGTGCACTTGCATTGTCTGATTAACGAATTTGGAAAAGGGAAGTATCTGCGAGTATTCGTTTTTCAGATGAAATTGAAAGGAAAACAAAGACAAACATTTTAACATTAACGTACAAATTCCTGTTATCCCTATCAAGCATATTTTTAAAGCGCATCAAATATAGATATACAAACCTTTCCAATAGTTTTCACACTCTTCAAAAGACTTAAAACAACAATGATTTTCATAATAATTGCCCACATCACAAGGAACCAGCGTACAGATCCAACCTCGTCTATACTTCCAGAAAGCAATAAAATGTTGTTCCTGTTAGAAGCAAAATCCTTATTTGACGGTTTGTGACATCTTTTACATTGCATTAATATTTTACATTAATATAGCAAATTTTTTTTGTGATATAACATTTAAATGGCACTTTTTAAATAGGTGTAATGAATTCATCATCAAAATTATGCAATAAGGAGTTGACTTGAGCGCTTACGATACTGTTATTATTCTTTTAGGAAGAACTGTTGCTATTTCAAAGGTGACGTATGTCATGCGATTGTTGAATTCAAATTCTGGGTTTTCTGTCGATTGTAACAAACACTATTGTATATATGTAATCTGTATATATTTTATCAGGAAACAAACGAAGAAGGTGGCACGTAATAGAAATACATTTGTATGTCTAATGTTATATAAGGAGAACAATTTAACGTATATCATATCAAGAATATTTAATCACGTAAAACATTGAATATTGTAAGATAATATTTCATGATAAAGAATTATCAAATCTTATTTTATTGCTGCATCTATCGTCTCTACCCCATAGCATAACATCAATCCAACAATGCCCCGAGTGTGTTCTAAATTAGACATATTTGATATATGTTTTACAGATATGTAAATGCTTTTTTCAGCACACTCACCTTGCGCTGTGGCGATGATGCACACAGGGTCAGATGTTATGTATTAATGTCTTCAGTTGACGAGAGATAATGCCACTATAGGGAATCAAATTATCTTGGCAGGGCACAGGTTAAGTATTTCATGTGCAAGTATAGGATTGTGCATGGTCATCATATCACTTATAGCCAATACTTTCACTCAACAGTCGTACTTTACAACAGCTTATTTCACAAGTATATAACACAAATACACACAACACAATTATTTAAAGATATTTAAAGACTAACCAATCGGTCAAAATATGATTGAATTATAAATATTAAATTCTGACTACCATGCAACCATCATTGAATAATTCAAGCCTACATCTGACTCTTATTCTTAAATATTCTCCGGCATTTACCTTCGTCTTATATATTATATATAGCTTAATTGTCATGTAAATCACCGACCATGTACAGTTATTTCAATGTTTGATATATTCAGAACTCGTATGATCATAACATTTAAAGAATTTTCAGAAAACGTGTTAATACTACCAACTACTTTTCACACCCGAATATATAATTATAATGCATGATTTTTTTTTCAGCTGCGCAACAAACAGATAAAAATAACTTACTGCCAAAATTCTTCTTCTGCTGAAACATCTTTGATGTGTTCTGGGTGACTGGTAGTATTCGCTGTTGTATTCAATAGATCGTCGTTGAAATGTGAAGACAAAAGTGTACGGGACACTACACATGAATTGGTGTTCCATGTGTTCCCACACGTTGTCCATGGTAAGTCGGTCGTGAATGACTGTCTTAGATACTCTAGTAGCCAGTAACGCATTGTAGATACGTAGCTGGTGTAACCTAAGTTTAGTAGGGCGATGGAAATACCTATACCTGTACGAAAGTGATAATAACATAACTCATACTACCATAAGTATTCGTCATATGCCAGTATTGTAAGTATATATATATATATTATTTATGACTAGAAGATTAACATTTTATATTACAAAAATACTCACCTTTGAAAATGGGAGAAAATTCCCAAATTTCAAATAATCCTTTTCCAGAAAATTGTCCCAAGAACACTTCAAGAAAGTATAGGGGTATGCCACAAGCAATAAACATTGTGGCATATGCAAGTAAAAATGCTCCTGAAAGAGACAAATATGTAATTGTAATGATGAAGGGAAGTATTTTTGTGACGACAGAAATGATGTTGTATTTAGTAAATAAACGATATCAGCTGAATAACTATTTCAAATGTACTTGATCATAAAGTTTGGTAGGCAATAGTATGATGTTATTTCAATATTAAATATTTCTGAAAGCGATATGAGTTATTTATTAAATGTTTTGATGTTTGTTGATGTTAGGTTACTTACCTCCTCCATTTCTCCATACAAGATATGGAAATCTCCAGAAATCCGACATCCCTGTAGAGTAGCCTATAAGTGAAACCACAAACTCGAGTGTGCTGCTCCATGTTACCCTCGGTTTTGTCTCACTGTCCTCAATTATTTCACCATTTGTATCCACATCTGTAGCTTGTTCGCTATGGCTGCATTTCATGTTGATTCACTCAGTATGTAGGTCTATACTGTATATTTTAACACCGAGTATGAAATAAGTTGTGAAACACACAAACTCAAATTGTAAAGTACATTTGTTTTCCTTATTTCACGTTTTTCTAATAAGATTTTTGATTTCATACTTGGTTATCTAATTGGCTATTGAGAGAGGTTCAGACAAAATTGAGAGACAATATATATTTGTCTTAAATGCTCTTTCCAATTTGCCTAATTTACACAACTCTAAAATTTATCACAGTCGTACTTTCAATTCCGTTCATGTTTCATATAAAACGATACATTAAGTTGAGTTATGTTTTTTGGAGTCTTTTGACAGCTTACAAAATTAAGTCATCATGATTTGGTATTACCATATATAAGGTATACCTAAAAACTTAACGCATCGTCGTATCCACTAGATAAAGTTTTGTTACAATGCTAAAAACAGCAAAATATTTCACACACACATTTAGAGATATAAAGATATACTCATATACATGGTACTGATTATTTCTTACCTTCAGAAGTCGTACACGTATTAAAGACCTTAGTAAAACACCAGTATTTTGTACACGAAAGCAATATCCCCCTTAGAGTATCCTGCTATTGTGAGTAATGATATTGGATTGAAATACCTGTCCATGGTTAGGTAAAATGAATAAAGATGATATCACGAACGCTGGGTGTTTTTGTGTGGAAGTGTAATGGAGTATAAACAGAAAAAGGTAATGTATTCCGGATTTGTAAAGGGTGAATTTGATATAAAATGTCACCTGCATTAAAGGGTGTAGAATGTCGAAACTTGAGAGCGTTCATTTTGGCTTTGTGAGGATTAAAAAGTTATCGTATTATTTTTGGAATAAAACATGAAGTGTTTCATGAAACAAATATTCCTAAAAGTATCCATAAATGGTTGAAATTAAGGAATAGTAATTTACTGACATAAATTACGTTTGGAATACTGTCAAAACATTAAGTTAAATTGCAATTAAGATAATCAGATTGTTTATAGTTATTTGAAATATACTTTGAACAGAATATCAACAAATTAGCTGTATATACTTGTCAACACTTAAGATAAGGCCTAAGGTATTGATAGTTTTACTTATTAACGTTTCTAATACTAAATAAACTTAATGACTTAATGATTTTCAGACATATATATAGTAGTTGTATATCATCATTTCATTCCAATATAGCTCTTAACCTAACAGAACGATCTTACATCAAATTAAATTGCCGCCCCCTTTTGATAAGTGTCAAACATAATTAAAATCTGTAACAAAATGGGGTCACTTTTAACGTATAAACTTGATATCCTGTTAAAAAATTGAAATTTGAGACGATTTTTTTTCTTTCCATATCAGGCAGCCAAGCGCTATAAAGCAAAGCTGAAAATGTCAGGGCTGATATGGGTCATCACTGGGTTGTAAAAGAAAACTGAAATCAAAGCAGAATCTGTCAAGTGTGTGGAAACATTTTATTTTTCAAAGTCAAGCTGCATAAAGTGACAATAAGGAGGACCTCTCATACACTGGCAAATGAAGACTTCATTCCCTGACACATACATTAATCGACAAATGATGATTTTTTTTACACACTTACACCTGTATAAGTTGTCTGACAACAATATGCAACGCTGACAAAAATATTGTATAATGTATTTTAACAAGACTCACAATGGGCATAGTAGCTTTCATATATATTTGAGGAGGAAAGTATTTTAGATCTGATGTTTTGTATAGCATGACCTGCTTTCAAGCGAGAATGCTTTTTTTTTTGTGGTATCGCGACGACTTTCTCGTCGTTGTTTACGTTGCTATCTGATTTTATCCCAGATGCCCGCCTGTACAGTATGACAGTGTTTTAACCCCAAAACCATATCAACTGTTAACTAAACGAAATACAATGAGTCATGATATGGATTGTTAAAATCTTGTTCTTAACGTTCTTAACGATTTTTAACGGTGGCAATACCTATGCCTTCCACTTATACATATTTTCGTGGGGTAAATGACTTGTAACATCACCAGTGATCTCCCTTTAGTTGTCGCTCACCGTAATGCTAGATATATCTTAAAATAAATATGGACTGCGTCCACAATTAAATACTTCCGGAATCTGGTCCAACGAATAAAGTATGTGTATTGTGAAAATTTAATATTTCTCTTTGAATTTAATGTTTTAAATTTGATTTAGATCTGTTAAAATGATAATCTAAATATCAGTGTTCAATCATTCATACTGATCATGTATTTTGTGCTGAAAAGAGAAAAGTCCTGTTTTCACCTCTATCGCATAACCCGTATGTATATGATTAACGTTGGTGACACACATGGAAGTGTATCTCCAGAAAAACGCCGAATATGCTAAGTTGAAACTTTAACATTTTGCTTCTCAGATGTTGATCTTGACCAGGCGAGATGGAAATTTGTAGATGAAACTTTGGGTCTTTGTTATTATTTTTAATATTACCATGAAATGTAAATTAAATTAATTGTGATCTCGGTCCTTGATTAGTGATATAAAGGTTTAAAGAGGTAGATGTGATATCTACCAAACATGATATACACTTAAGTTGAAAGTGTTGAATAATCTAAAGGGGACACATTGCATTATTTACATATTACATAATCTCCTTCAGTATATATATACTTGTGTCAGCAATGTTTAAGGGCCTACATTCCACTTTCAGAGAAGTGTTTTCTTGAATGTTCAGAACGTCTCCACTGCATGTATGGCGTCATCATCTGACCGAAAGAGGGTACCGGAAATGGATTAAAGATGGAGCGAGATCAGCCGAATAAGGCGGATGCTCAATCAATCGTTAATTGTAGACATGGCAATAATAGACTTTTGAACGGAGACATCGTCCTGCTGGAACACCACACCTTTACTGAGTTTTCCAATGTGATTAAATTTGATATTTCCTCTTAACTGCTTAAGCGCTGCCTAATATGTGCCATTGATATTTTGTCCCTTTTGCAGACAATCTACCGTCAGAATACCATCAGCATCACAGAAAATCTAACTGTACTGGCCATACATCTCTCGGTAACTAGCCTGTCAGCCCTTCTTTCAGCGCTATTTTCCATTTTTGCAAAAGTCGCTTGCCTTTTTTACTAGAGTGCAACCACTTCGACGTAAACTGATCAAATGACACCAGTCGTTGGGCAAACAGCCTTAAATAGTCAGGGAATAATAGCGCTGAAAAAGGACATCCATACTTATCTTCTTCAATTCAACGCTCACAACTCATCAATCAGAATTCGTACCTTATATGGAAACATCGTCTGTTGAAAAATTGCATCATTAAGTTTGCTTTCCTCTACCCGCTTCGTTTATCATCACCTCAAATCAAGTATGGCTACTACTTTTATTTATTGCTTATTCAACCAATGGCTTGGAATTCGCCAGCTGCCCATTCATCTATCCTGATCTTTAAATCTAATCTATTACAGGTCAGTCGTCTGTTAAATCAGAATCATAATTATGCGTACACCGCTAAAAGCTTCAAATCATATAAAAAGAACCTCAATTGATACTTCTTTATTACGTTATAACAAATTGTAAGAAGACAAACAAGAGAGCACAATGATAACGCCGGTTTTCTTTGCCATTCTCCTGAAGTTGTTAGGGGAAACGGGATGGATTTAATACACACAAATAACTTAATCACAATACAAATAAGTATACCATATCATTGTCAGAACTGCTATAACACACTGTTGCATACGATCCGCAAACAAAGGACCCTAAAGACACCGGTTGCGTTACCTACAATGCTTCCAATTTTCTAGCAGGCATTCATTCATACCACCATATCAAGATTTCCAAAGAGATTTTAAAGGTATATTCACACACCTGCTCAACAACGACTGTCCGTGTTATAATGTCCAATTTGTTTACATCGCTACCTTAGTATAATGTGATAACAAATACCGTCATCAATGAATATCATACTTGTTAAAATGCTGAAGATATTTAAAAAGAGTTGGGGGGAGGTCTTTGAGGGCCTTTTTCTCACTATTCTACCGTGCACTAGAATTCTAGAAACTATCCGTATTAACATGAAATGACAGAAATAATTGCCATGCCATCCATGTTTTATACCCATCAAGTAATGTATTTGTAGAATATGCGATTGAAGTATTCATATTGTGTTAAAATATATAACACTTCTACTAAGTATAAATCTACATAGGCTTTATTTCATACTTCAATTAAATATATCATGAATTTGGCGTTTTCTTATCAACACTGGTAATAGATTGTTTGCATGACTTGCAAAGAAACCTAGAAATATAGATAAGTAAATAATACAATTTTCGAAAGCAGAAAATTTTGGATAACGCTTAGCTAACTACAAATAATCGAATTGGTGAATAATGATATTATGTGCGATAGTAACATACGGTAAACAATTAATCTGGCCACGCAATAATTTTATATGCCATATTTCGATACACTAGTGTTTCGAGAATATACCACAATCAACGTATTATTGGTTGACATCATTTTTACGAAAGGAAAGAGTGACAAGCAATGACAGCTTTAAAATCCCAATGCCTGCCGATTACCGCACGAGACGAACGACGTTCATAACTCTCATTTTTTGAACGAACATCATCCCATTTGAAACGTGAACTTCCTGGCGCTCCGAGACTTCTACGCCAACATGCTCCGTGCTGGCAAAAGTACTCAGTACCTGCCCGCTTGACGGAGTGGTAGCCACAGTGGTTGGATAACTATTTCCGCCATCGTCATCATCATCATCATCATCATCATCCTTGGATGCCTTGTAGCAACCGTAGCACAGTAAGGCCATCTAGATAAATATTTACGTAAATGATCACCTTATTAATTTCTGTCAGCAATGACATCAAGCTTAATTCTCCCTACTCGTACAGTTAACAATTACAACTTTGATTCCTTTAACATGATTCCCTTTACATGTTCACTTTA